GGCACCGGATATAAACTGCATCCCACAAGTGTTACACACACACACACACGCACACACTGTGCATACACGCACACACACACACACACACACACACACACACACACACACACACACACACACACACACACACACACACACACCATTTGACCATTTCACGCCCATCGCCGGAGGCGAGGATAGCGATGCTACAGCAGAAGCCATAGCAACTTGTGCTGGGATTGCACCATTCTACAGCTTGCAAGGCTGAAGAATTGACCGCCACTGTTCAGCCTGGTCTACACCACACAGCTATGAAGTGGCTTTTTCTGGTCAGTGAATCCCTACTTTTTGGTCTTTTTCAAATTTTTCCTGCACACACATCACACCACATACTCCGGCATGCGCTGGCTATTGGTAACCACCCAGGAGAATGAAAGCAAAGTCAGGAGGAGTCTGAGAAAGAGAAGAAAGACGTGTGTGACCATAATCATCGGGAATAGAACCCTCTCAAACCCTCTCGATTGGATATCGCTGCACATACCACTGCACCATATGGGCACACACAAACACACACACACACACACAGAAACAGACGCAGACACAGACACACACACACACACACACACACACACACACACACACACACACACACACACACACACACACACACGGGGTGCAAATCACAAACCTTATCATGTCCATCTGGGCAGCATCAGATGTCTCCCGAGAAGTCAGATTCATTGCAGTCTGGAGTCCTGCTACACCATTCAAGAAAAAAACACGCGCAAAACGTGAATGCACAGCAGCAGAAGCAGCAACAGTGGCAAAGAAAACATGTTACCAACAAATGAAATGATCACTGAGCTATGCGTGCCAAGATTCACAAGCTACTGTTCTGGACATTGAGGGAAGACCGGGGCCGGCACCCGTACTCCATTTAGCGCATACAGCCACTGTAGTTCATGTACATTTCGAAAAACGGACCAGCGGTGCTCGCAGCCGCAAGGCCAGCACCACGTGGCCATTTGGCTTCTCAGAGGATGTCAATGTCCGCTACAGTAAGAGAGGTTGCTGCGCAGGATCCCCACCTCCACCACCACCACCTATAACCTATAGGCTATAACCGAAGATCACACAGTTCCATTGTGATCCATGAGGAGGCTCAAGCCACAATATACAACACCAGTTACAGAACACACAAACTACTTCAGCAGAGCAATCCCCTAGCTCAGGCCCCTAGCTCAGGCCCCTAGCTCAAGCCCCTAGCTCAAGCCCCTTCTGTGACAGTTGCTGTTCGCAGTTTATGTATCTGGTGTACAGTTGCACGCGAGTACACATGCCGCGCGCCCAGTATCCTTTCTCAGGTTGAGCCCGCGCACTGGCTGCATGCAAGGGTATTGGTCCAATGCTGGTGTTTAGTTTGTTGCTTGTATCCACGTCTGGACAAATACAGTAGTTGTCCGTTCTTCTTGCTCTCCCAACCCTACTGCCTTGCGTTCCCAATTCCTCAACCTTAGTTTCTTTGCCTCAACCAGACGGTTGTCTGTGGTGATTCTGTGTGTTGCGTGCCAGTGGCGTGTGGATGTGAGGGAAGGTTCGTCTACAGAGAGTGGTGCCGAAACCCGGGACTCAAGCTTCAGTGTTTCTTGAATGGCTTGCCAGTGTTTTGTAGTTTGGCGCTCTGTTGTGATGGCGGAGCCTAGGTTGAAAGTGGACAGATTTCGCGGACGAGGCGATGACTGGGACGAGAGTTCAGATTCAGGACCCATCGATCTACCGTCCCTTGGTCTGCTTCAACTACTGAAGCTGCGATGTACAAATTCTTTGTACAGCCATTCCTCGTTTATGCGGGGCGGTCCGCGACCAGGCACTGCCCGTAACTTCGGAATGTCCGTAACTCCGAATAACATACATTTTGATGGGGAAAGACCATAGATATGGCATATGACATCACTATTTCAACAAAAAATGACAAAAGAGTAGTAATATTTCCACAAAAGTGACAAAAGAGTAGTAATATTTCCACTGAAACATACCCAGAGGGTGCCCGGTAGACCGAAATGCCCGACACGTCGGGGGTGCGGATAACCGAGCGATCAGTGTGTTTTGATCTCTGGCTATGCACGACAGCATCAGTGAGCCAAATAGCCATCAGTGAGCCAAATACTGTAATTTCACAAAATTTCGGTGTACTTTTATTTTCGGTACTTTCGGTGCGTCTGTTTCATACCTAAAATGTCAATACACCGAACGAACGCGAACCCACATAATCCAATAGGGAACTGCTTCTCTGTACCGAAAATTTCTGTTCACCTAACCTAGCCTGTTGCCCTCATACCGAAAATATTGAGCACCGAAAATATCTGAAATTAGAGTAGCTGTGAAAGACTGACGTCATGAAACAATGTTCCGCTGTGGGCTGGGGAATCGTCGAGCTGCACACTCTTGTTTGCGTACATGATATTGTACTCTCTTCTTGTTTTTTGTTTTTTTTAACTTATTTTAGCTTGTTGCCTCAAGAGTACAATGTGCAACTTCAAAGAGGGGTTAGAGGGGTTGAGGGGTTGAGCAGGAAAACAATAACTGAGGGTCATGCTGGTGTCGGTACGAGGCTAAACGAGGCCTACTGTATAAGCCAGAGACGCAAATACCGTAAAGTCTTGTATGAAAGCTGCGGCTTCTATGACTTTCTTGGTGAAGTTTTGCAGGCTTCTATATGAGACAGGTGTTTCTATGTACGTCAACACTAAAACCAGGCGTATGTGTGATTTGATGGGCCCAAAATTGCGGCTTCTATTCGAGGGCGGCTTCTATTCAAGTGCGGCTTTTATACAAGACTTTACGGCACAACGATTTCCAAAAATTGACCGGTTTACGTGCGCCAACGGCAACGATTCTCACTCATTCTCAACGTTCACCGGTAACAGTACCTGACTTAACAGGGAGCGTCGGAAGCTAATTTAGTGTGGTACGGTCAGCCATCTGAACTGTACACTTTGCTCATGGGGGGGGGGGGGGGGTGTTGGCTGAGGCGAAAATTTTGGAAATTTAGAGCCCAAATCCAGTGTAATTTATTGATTCACAGGGTACTTGGTGCAAATAGTGGTACGGTCTATACCGCAGTGGTCGTACCGTGTCCGACGCCACTGCTTAGTAGTCATTCCCGTATAACGTTTTTCATGCGGATTTCTCCTCGTTAACTCGATAGATGTAGCACTTCGCTTTACATGCATTCTCCAGAGTATAAGGCACACCACACCCCCACACACACCCATGTTTTGCCACTAAAAAAATCCCACGAAAATACAGACATCAGCCCTGTTTATCATCGTTCTTTTGAGTGAATTTCGAGTGCTCAAAGTGCGGCTTACACTCCGCAACAATAGGGTAAGACATTTTACAATACCTGGATTGAAGAAATGCGGATTGGCGGCACCATTAGCCTGCATCAGAGGTATTTGCGGCGGTACAAACTCCGGTGACCGCGGCGTTAACTGGCTTCCAGGAGGACGTTTTCGCGAGTTCACCCACTGGGGATCAAACGCCGACCGCGGCGTGAACAGGTTTGCTACGCAGCCGTGTCCGCCAGCGCCACTGGGCACTGTAGACTGAAGCCCCATGTGATGTGAGGGGCCGATTGAGTCGTACGTCGGCAGACTTGCATCAACAGCTCCTGGGCGTGGCTGCCCCGTGTACTGGAGAGGTGGACGCGTAGTATGCACACGTGCACACGCACGCACGCACGCACGCACACACACACATACACACACACACACACACACACACACACACACATATACTAGTCAAGATATATCTTCACTAGTTTGAGGGAGACTCGGAGACAAACGGGAAAAGTCTGAAGAAATAATTGACTGTCACCACCGGGACTCGAACCAGGGACCCTCGCTTGCAGCTAGCTATGCTCTAACCAAACATACACGAGAGAGCTTGGAAGCTCAGGGCCCTACGCTATGCTTGTTTGCCTTGATGACCTAGACAAAAAAAAGCATAGGGATGTTATAATTTTTCTTATAAATTTCTCCTATTTTTTTTTAAGACATAACATGGGATTCGAACCCGCACTATCGCCCTGCATGCATCCATACTAATTCTTCCACGTTGCTTCATGTTATGATCTTGCGTTTGAAAGTCCTATTTGAATATTGTGGCCAGCTGTTTGTGGCCAGCTGTCTTTGATGGTACGGTACGGTACGGGACAGATACGGGATAGCGCTATGCGTGACACAAACAAACAAATAAACGCCAAATTAAAGCTGTGTGGACCCTCGCTAGCACCAGATGTTACTGAAGTAACGTCTTCTGCATAGCTACGGGAATAAAACACACACTCCGGCTTCATTCACTCCAGTGACTGCAGGTGTGGACTATAGTAGAATCCTACCCACACGCATGTACGCACACACATACACTTCCACATATATCCCGCAACCTATCGTTTGCAAATCGGTGCACATACCACTGCACCATATGGGACACACACACACACACACACACACACACACACACACACACACACATACACCCCACGCGCACCCACACACATACACATGCACGCACACATACACAAACACACACACACACACTTCCGACCTTTTGACGCCAATCACCAGAGGCGATGATAGCGATGTTATGGCAGAAGCCACAGCAACTTGTGCTGGGATTGCACCATTCAACAGCTTGCAAAGCTGAAGAATTGGCCGCCACTATTCAGCCTGTTTTACACCACACAGCTATGAAGTGGCTTTTCTGGCCAGTAAATCCCTACTTTTTGGTCTTTTTAATTGTTGTCCCGCACGCACATCACGCCACATACTCTGGCATGCACTGGCTGTTGGTAACCACCCAGGAGAATGAAAGAAAAGTCAGGAGTCTGAGAAAGGGAGGAAAGACGTGTGTGTGTGACCATAATCGTCGGGAATCGAACCCGAAACCTCTCGATTGGAAATTGCTGCGCATACCACTGCACCACATGGGACACACACACACACACACACACACACACACACACTTGAACGTGCCCATTGCCGATGGCAATGATAGCGAAGGGACTATCCGCTAGCTTTGCAGTACGGAGCGTCGCGCTTGAGGTCCCCGACGGCAGACCTTTCCACATGCGCAGCGGAAGCCAGAGTCAGGATCAGGAGGAGCACGGGCGGGAGGACGACGATGAGCAATCACACACACACACACACACACACACACACACACACACACACACACACGTTCACACACACACACAAGGACCGGAGGCTGCGTGCACAAAACTAACCGGTCCGGGTATCCAACCGACACCCTGATGTCCATGGCCCATGAGCGAATGGCCATCGTGTGTCGACGGATACGGCCCTGCCGACTGAGGTGTTCCCTGAGAGAGGGGGGGGGGGCACAACAAAGTAACAGATAAGTACAGAGAAATGAGTCACAAGGGGGAGAGGGGGAGGTGAGCACAGAGAGGTCAAGAACCCAGGAGGGGTCAGAGTAACAAGCAAAAAACAACAACAACAACAACAACAACCTCTTGTTGTCATTGTTTTTAAAAGCATTATTCTCACGATGGCCAGTGGCCAATAAGAGTTAATAGTGTGAGAGAGGAGAAAGAGTGAGGAAGGATTGGGTGGGCAGGGCCTAGGGATTAATGACTAATTAAGTGTGCGGGCAGGGGTGGTCGCTACACGAGCATACAGAGTTGTGGAACAGCAGGGATATCTGGGATTTGAAGAGAGTACGAGAAGGGATTTCGCGAAGCTGGGTAGGCAAGCAGGTGCCATCTTTGAAGCCAGTCTCCAGTTGCTGTGACATTCTGTTGTAGGTTTCAGGTGCAGTCTTGAAGAGTTCCCGCTATGGAAATCAGAGCGGCGTCATCTGCAAATTGGCTACAGGTGGTGCCGGGATTCTCACATGCGTGTGGAAGGTCTATGGTGTAGACGAGGAATAGAAGCGGCCCAAGAGCAGATCCCTGAGGGACGCCGGCAGTGATCCCGAAGAAAGGCGATAGGTCGCCATCCCCCTGGACTCTCTGCCGACGCCCCAACAGGTACCGTCGGAACACCTCTAGGGCGTTGCCCTGGACACCATAGTGGGAGAGGTTTGCTAGAAGACCTGCATGCCACACACGATCAAAGGCCTTGCTGAGATCGAAAAAGCAGGCTGTGACGTGTTTCCCGTTGTCTCTCGCAGTGGAGAGGGTATGGACGAGACGAGCAAGCTGCTGTTCAGTGCCGTCTTTCTCACGGAATCCGGGCTGCTGGTTGGGTGGGTGGGGTGTTATATGCTTGTAGAGGAGCCGATGTACAATGTTTTCTTGGATTTTCGATGTAGTGCTCAAGAGAGAGATGGGTCTATAGTTTGTTGGTTGTGTCGGGTCACCAGGCTTGGGCACTGGACTAATGGTGGCATCTTTCCACTCCTGTGGGATATCTCCGGTTTGGGATGATATTAAAGAGGGACGATAACGACGGTGCAAGTTCTTTAGCCGCTTCTTTGAGTAAGCGGTTTGGTATAGAGTAGAACCCGGGGCTTTTGTTGGTATCAACTCCGCGGAGGAGTTTTTCAACCTCAGCTTGGGAAGTCGAGATTTCTTGAGGGGGACTGAGGATGTCAGGGGTGGTGTTAATGGCTGGAGTTTGCTCATCCGCGTTGGCCACGGACAGTTTTCTCTGTGAAATGAAGAATTCGTTGAGGGTAGCGGCTTTTTGTGCTGGTGTCGTTGCAGGAGTTGCTTGGCTGACGAGTTCGGGTATGCGTTGTTTCGTAGCTGTTGTTAGGTGCTTCATGAGGCGGTGTAGGGAAGTAGAGGAGGCTGTTGAGTTGTTTACGAAATCTGATTTTGCACGACGCAGGAGAGTGGTGACACGGTGTCTTTGTTGTTGTTGTTGATTGTTGTTGTTTCAAATATTTTCAAATCTTTATTCTTGTTGTTGTTGTTGAATTCTTTATTCTCATGATGGCACCACACACAACAACAATAACAACAACAATGGATCAAGGCATTCTCGCAAAAAAAAACCATGGGTCGTGTGACACTCAGCTTGAGGCCGGTTTTCACACATCCGCAGGAACGCCACCCACCGTCAAATAACAAGGTGCATTCTCGCAAGAAACGAGTCCAAAAATACAAATAATTATAAAGAACTTCAGAAAAGCACAATGCCAGTGTATGTACCATCAAATCGTGGACAAACACCAATCCCGATATGTGAAGATAACCACCCAATGGAATCTGTCCTCAAGTATACAGAATACCGTTGGAAATTATAACGCGTGTATGTGTTCGCGTGGGCGCGTGCGCACGTGGTACGCGTCGTGGTACGCGTCAGCTATCAGGAAGCTGCCTGCCTGCAGGACCATTTTGAAAGTCAGACTACATAGTTACGGCGTCACGATTCACTTTCCGGTTTCTCGGGAGCGTGTTCGCGTCGACAAAAGGACTACCCTTACTCTTACAGTGGTGGGAGAGCAGCGTATCCATGTGTGCCGGATTTTCCGGACTATAAGCCTCACCCCCGTTTCTTTTGCCACAGAATACAAACATCTACCCCATAAGGGCTATTCATCACCGTTAATTTGATCATCGGAGTATACGCCGTCCCCCCCCCCCCCCCCCGCCATTTCCGGGTGAATTTTGAATGCTCAAAGTGCGGCTTATACTCCGGAAAATACGGCACATGAAGACGTGGAACACAACACCCGGCAGGTACCAAAATAGAATCAAAGATCATTCTAAATGAGATATGTGTAAGAGGTGAAATCACTCAGCGAGCTGATTCAGGTTTGGGGTTGTGCTGAAACAATTTTAATAATGCACTCACGGTTTCCGTGAGACTCGGCTAGAGGCCTGGTTTTTCGCATCTGCAGGAAAGCTACCACGCTCAAGAACGAAGGCGCAGATGCAGCTCCTAAACCGGTGGGAGGTAAATAGATCAGACCCACCGCCAAAGTGGTAAAGGACCGAAAATCCCAGTCACTGAATCCTACCACTCGAAATTGACAAGGAAATGGATATAGCAGGTTCAATGTGGCGTTCCAGCTCACATATTCTTACTAGTCTAGGTCTGTGACAAGTAGCACGCTTTCATCTCCATTATTACTCTACGGTTGCAGCAAGGCTGTTCCTGGGCAGCTGCCGACTTGCTCAGCGCCTGTGCTCCTCCGAGTACAGACGCGGTGAGGGAGGGCAGGGGCGGGATGGGGGAAGGCAGAAGGCAGGCACGCAGGAGGTGACCGCATGTCTATAGTTTACGCGTGGAAAATAGCTACGGCGCGCAAGTTGCACTGGTGATGCGCAACATCGCATCGCGTCAACACCACAGAGTCCACAGCCCCAAGCGTATGGCCGCACGCGACAGCGAGTATCCGAGCTAGGGTTGGCCTGTGTGGTGCCGCACTGCCAGCACTGCGTAGTGAAAGGATGGTCGAGCTATAAACTGGATTCGAGATTTCCTTCCGTAGATTCAAAGGTGACACCTGTACGCGATGCAGCGCGCAGACCTTTCAAGGTTTCTTAGAAAATCGCACTCAAAAGTTGCAAAACTGCGTCAGATCAATAATGATAATATCTAATTCTCCAGTTCGTGGCTACTACAGTCCGTATCGCCTATAAGGTTGGCGGCTATAGTAATATACCGGATATAGTGATCAATTTCTCAAATTCATTTTCATTTGCCATAACTAAGTATACACAGTTATCGCGTATAGTAATAATCGTCTATAGTAATATATCGCCTATAGTGATCAAATTCATATTTCAAAAGACCTTTATTACATTATTTTTGCATCGGTTATAGTGATTGATGTAAAATCAAGCGATGTCAGAGGAGAACAGGGTGTTACTTCTTCGTGAAGAATTTGTCCAGTGAGTGTTGTTTGGTGAGTTTTGCTCGTACAAGTTGCCAAAATATGCCTCCATCGTGAGGAAATGCTGATTTTGTGTGTCAAGAGCTACAGCCAGCTACATGACATTGTACATGTACATGTATGTAGTGCGTATGTGCACGGCGCGCTGAGTCGTTTGACACCCCACTCGCATACATTGCATGCAGTATCGGTCATAGTAATAGATCGCTTATAGTGATAAAATGCTCAAAATCAATCACCAACGCTATAGGCGATACTGACTGTACTACGTAATGCTGAGACAGTGCACTGCTGGCCCAAGAGCCTGTGCGTACTACAGTGCGTTTTTTTATAATAGACTCTGAAATCCTTGAGAACGTACTCAAGGCCACTTTTGAGAAAATGTCATGCGAGTTGCGTCACGAAAATCTGCGCGCGAAATTCGAAAACCAGGTGTGACTCGTGGCATTTCGCCATTTTCAGACTCAGAGTGTCCTTCGAGCTCCTCGTGGCTGGAGGAATCATTTTTGTTGCTGACTGACTGTGGCCCTATTTTGCTTTTTCTCGAGTGTCTTTTCGTTCGTGGCAACTTGTTCTCTCGACATGCAACATAATTATAACAAAGCGCGAACGGGCCATGGTAGAATCTACATGGTGGTGTCTGTTTTACAATTTTTGCGAAGACGAGGAGAACAATGGCTGGGCATCGAATTGGTCCCAAGTATTCCATTCGTCATGCTGCTGTTGCGTGTGGCGTCAGCATTTCCACCAAGAACAGATGTACCAGGGATGCTGACGGCGAAAATCAGCGTGCTGCGTTGGCCTTGTCTGTCTCCAGTGATGAAGGTAACGAGAGTGACAATCCCCAATGTGAGACTCGTGCCATAAAACCACTCAACCCTGACGGATTTGCTTTGGACTGTATAAGAAGTAATTTACGGATTCTATGCTGCGAAGGAGCACCCAGCACTGGACAAAGTTCCTGCTCGCTGCATAGAAAGCATCGACGATTTTCCAGACATGAGCAAAACTAGCTCTTGGAAAATGTTGCGTTCCATGGGATTCCAGTGTGGCAAGACCAGAGGTATCACACACATGATGATGGAACGGCACGGGATTGTGTCATGGCGGCATCGCTACCTGTGAGACATACCTGGATGACATGTGGGTCAATGCGCGTCACACAGTTACTAGGAGGTGGTCCGACAATGGTGACAGGAGTGTATAGGCAAGCAACCAAATGAAGCACCATCAGGTAAAGGCAAGCGCTTTATTGTTCTGCATACTGGGACGGGACGGATTCGTGAAAAACTGCGCCGACGTGTTCGTGACTGGAGACCGACCGCCGATGTGTTCGTGACTGGAGACCGACGAGGCCAACGCCAACGATGATATACGTCATCGGCTGTCCTAGCACATCTGTTCACTGTGTAATACTGTCGTCACAAGTGCAACACAAAACACGGAATTATTGGGGCCGTTTCGACGCTCGCTGGTCTTCTACTATTCGCAGATGTTGAACCAGACACAACTGTGACCTATTTGCATTGTGTGTTTGTGTGTGTGTGTGTTTGTGTGTTTGTAAAACCGCTCATGTATTGCTTCCTTTCAGTCTCTTTATGGGTGCTGTGTGAATTGCCCTTGTGATTTGTTGTGGTGTTTGAATTTTCACTGCATTCTTTCAGGGATCGAGTGAAGTTTGAAGTTTCCTACATGCATGCTGGAATGTTTTGATTTATTGAGCTAATTGCAATACAGCATTTGAATTATTCAGTACAGTTTGCCACAGTAAGTCGTGAAAAGCCACGACTCACTGGTTTCCTACAAAGGTTAGGAGAACTGCAGACAGCAGTGCACAACTGCATAGTCATGTACATGTACATGCACATGCATGCGCGGTACGGAAAAAGAAGAGAAAAAAAAGAATCAAGATGAAGTCTGTACTGGATTCGAACTCTGGCGGACACCATGCACGTGATGAGCTTTCTTGGCTAAAACTTTCGTTTTAAAATCAAAATCCACTGAAAACCATTTAAAACCGGATTTTCAGCCAAAACCCGTCCGAATATCTAACTTTGACAATTATACTTATAATGATTCTCAAACTTAATTTTCTTCGATCCAAGACCCACACAAACGCAGCTGTGAAGAAAAAAATTCAAATTTGGAATGAGAACAAACTAAAAAATCAAAATCGACAAAATTTATGTCTGTTTTAAAAAAACGCACTTTAGAGCTGCATGCCCCCTCCCCCCCCCCCCCCCCCCCCCCGTCATGGACACTTGGTAACACACAAGTCATGACAAACTGGAAATACCCACATGCACACAGCCACACCATAAATCGGCCACACCATAATAAATCTGTGCTGCAAAAAAAACACAACACTGATCACCGGCGCACCACCTCTCTCATGACAGGCGGATTCGAATACTGACTACTGAAACCAGCGTATAGCGCCACGGAGGCCGTGACGGCGAAAACAAACAATGTGACGAGGCAGCGAATACAAGCGCCAGGCGATCCACCCCGGAATAAAAAATGCCACCATTCCAAGTGGCCTAAAAAAAATGCTAAATCACGACGCGCAGTGCAGGTATCTTGCGCTACGTGTACTCTACGACTCCGAGCAACAGTTACTACACTAGTACCAGCAAACAGTTCACCATCAACAAGCTCCAGTCCGACTGGCTAAAAGTACAAGGTCGACGCGAACGAATAAGGCCGAACTAATCAGGAAACGCACCGATGTCGCTGCTTCAGCGTAGCGCCGCGGCGGAGTTCAGCTCGCTGACACCGTGCGAGAGAACTCCACCGCCATACGGAACGACGCAAAGCCAACAGCACCAACACGATCTGAATAGAAAACGTGCGAGCGAACGACATGCTGCTCTTTACACCGTCGCCATAGCTTACATCGCTTTCACAGCTACACCCAGTTCTTCCGCCAAAACCCCGCTTCGCAACACCCAAAGCTATGGAGTACGCTGCCATCGACGGCTGCAAACAAGAGCGCAGCGGACAGTTGTGCACCCAACTCCAGCTCCTCACGCTCGACAACACGCGAGGTCGGAAATGGACGGATATTTACCCGTCCTGCGCTGCCTGGCCAGACCCCTAATCAAAACTGTCAACACGTTCTTACTCGCAGCTACAAACGCCACGACGCCACGATTATAAATACATGTAGAACCAAAATACAAGATTGGCCGTGTTTTGTTTACAGCCGCTTCAAACATTCATAATTTCGTCTCTCACCATTGGTGCTGTATCGTCTCGTCGATAGTTCAGCACATTATCGAATTCTGCCGCCTGCTCCTTCGCTCGCTGGTGCTCCCGTGCGATGCGGTCCGCAAACTTTCTCGGTCTGGCTCTTTGAGTAGCCATCAGGCATCAAGAAAAACTCTACCCACTAGTACTAGCGCTTCGAGTGACAAATACAACAGTGCCAAGCACTAGCGACTAGCAGTACTAGCGGTTCGTGTCGCCCAGAATCTACAGCTAGCCAACGGGCACTCAGAAGACTGACATGATCAACCATCAACCAGCCAAAAAACTAGCAAGAGAAAATACGTACATACAGTACACCCGATCTTGAAAACAACCAGTGCTGTTGTTCTCCATATCCATCCAGTCCAGACAACAAAATCATGTAGTTCAACCCAGCAAGCTAGCAGTGAAGTGTGTGGCAGATCAGTGATTGGGTAGCTACGTGCTAAGCCTAAAGGCTAAAGACAAACGAGTGCCTACTGTAGTAGTACTACTAGTACTGACCACTGCTGACTGTACGGTAGTGTCTAGCGCAGTAGCGGTTTCCAGATTATTCGCAAGAAATGCGTATTATTGAGATACAAGATACATGACTGTACTGTACTCAATCTGCGGACAGCATGCTGTTTCGTTCTTTTTGAACTCATCAGCGCAGCACAGAGAAAATGAGGCCGAACCTGATAGCATGACTGTACTGTACTGTACTGTACTGTACTGTACTGTACTGTACTGTACTGTACTGTACTGTCCGCAGATTGAGTGACTGTAGACTACTGTTAATAATAATATCTTTAGAGGCTTGTCGCCTATCAAGGGGTTCACCGCTTTGAAGGATGTACATGTACATGATTGTACACGTATGAGCTAAAGTGAAAGTAGTGAAAAGTTGTGCAGCGTGAATGCATTGGGGAGCACACGGGTGGGGGGGGGGGGGGGGTATGTACATGTACATGGCGTAGGCATACCGGAGAGCGAAGCACTATGTTTGCAAGTGAGTTTGCGAAGCTCATTCTTGAAAACAATAATGGATGGTTCTGCAGTTAGTCTTGGTGGGAGGCAGTTCCATAAGAGGGAGGTTTGGAAGAGAAACAACGATTTTGATGTGGTCTTTGCTCTAGGGAGAATAATTTTGTTAGGGCGTCTCGCACTCTGCGTGATATTGAAATGGAATGAAGCTAGGCAACGTCGATACTTGAAAATAAATTTGTGCATGGTAACCAAGCTTAAAAACTGCCTGCGGTAAAGAAGGGATTCAATGTTAGCTTTTTTATTAAGATCCTGCTTGGGTGTATTTAAAGTCGATTTGGACTTTGCGTTTCCTAAGATAGGATCTTGCAAACCTGGCCTGGACTCTATCCAGCTCAGTCAAGTCGCTTGAACGAAGACGAAAGGACCACACTACGAGTAGTACGACGCTGTTCTCGAGCATCAAGATTCAAATCCAAAAAAATTAATGATGCTATGCGAAAAATTTCTAAAAAATATTCAAAAAATCACTCAAAACCCGAGAATTATCTACCCGTTGCCATGGCAACGATGACGTAACATAATGCATGACAGTGCTGAGCTCAGCCTCAGATCAGAGGCCGCGTGCACTGACGTCGACATTTTTCAGGCCCATCGTGGGGTGGCACGTGATTGGTGCCTTTGCCGGGCTTTGGTCCCCCAGATTTTCAAAACACCTCAAAAAGAGGTCTAAAAAAGGTAGAATTTGGCAAAATTTTCCGGAAAATTGTCGAATTTGCGAAAATTCACCGGAAAACAGCAAAATTCGAAAAAAAATATTAAAAAAGATAATCTGGAAACCCCTACTAATTACTATACTATACTACTTACTGACGTCTAGGGCTTGGCGGATAATGCCGGCTGTCATGCAGGTTCTCACACGCAACGGGAACACTTCGTGGTAGTAAAATAGATATTTCGCAAACAACAAAAAGACAACTCTTTCTCTTCCTTTCGAAGAACCGAACTCATTACTTGCCGAGCCTCATCGAAAAACAAAACCTGAAAAAGCCCTACACTACACTAGTACTAGTACGGGATTCAGCGCAGAGCAAAAAATAATCATGAGTCATTATACAATGCATGCAGTGTAGCCGTGAAAACTGGTGAATAAAGAATGCAGTAGGTTGGCAGCACGTGACCCGTCGTACCGCAGTACGCGACGGCGTCGCGGCTTAGAAAATGAAAGGAAACACTGCGAGAAAAGACAAAACGAAAATGTCATGTCCCTTTGTCAAAACTTAGAAGAAACAAACAAAATGCGACCAAGAATCATTTTGAGAGTCAACGTCAATACTCTTGTGCAGTTGTGCAAATTCTTGTCTTGCACTGTGCAACGCAAGAAACTAACAACCTACGAAATAACTCGTGAACTAACTGTAGGCTAAATCACTACATGTACGCGAAATTGCGTTCCAAAATAAACTGAATTTCTGAGACATTTCATATTTCACATCCTGAGAGAAATATTGAATAAATAGTAAATACTTCATAAAAAACACATGGCCACGACGGCCTTCCCAACATACCCCCCTCCTTGATACATCCGTATCAAAGAATGAGTAAAATGAGAAAAGAGATCGAACTGACTAAAGATGGCGATAAGTCCATCTAAAACGTGCGTACGGACTGTCAACCTTTCACAACCGGACATAGCCGCACAACTGACCTGGTTACCTGCTTGCCTCCTACCTGGAGCTTAGCGACACGCACTCTGCCGTCAGAACCAGGGTAGACCTCCAACACCCGTCCAAGAGGCCACCTGCCACGGGGGGTATCAGCTGACACAACGAGGACGATGTCACCGACACTGAGATCCGGGTACTCTTTCCACCACTTGGAGCGACGATTCAGGGCTGGTATCCACTCCTGCATCCACCTTCGCCAGACATGGGATACAAGCATTTGGACGTGTTGCCAGCGGCGCCGAAGACACGGTGACTCGACGGCAAGATGATAGTGCTCAATGCGTCCAACCAGGAAGTGATTCGGTGTGAGTGGCAAGTCGTCGCGGCTGTCACTAGAGGGAGGAATAATTGGACGAGAGTTGAGTAGCGCCTCTGCGCTGCAGAATGCTGTTCGCAGCTCCTCATCGGTGATTGATGCCTGCTGTAGAACATGGTAAATAGCCTTCTTTGCTGCTTTTACCATACTTTCGTGAACGCCTCCAAAGTGTGGTGTCTGGGCAGGGATGAAATGCCACTTGATCCTCTTCATGGTAGCGCTGTGCTCCAGGACGTGTTGCTCCTGCTCGGTGAAGATCTCCGATAGCTCACGATTAGCCCCGACGAAGTTCGTACCATTGTCCGAGAGCACTTCAGCAGGAACACCTCGGCGGTTGCACATTCGTTGAAAGGCGTTCAGAAAGCTGTCGGTATCCAAACCTGTGGCCATTTCCAGATGCACAGCACGACAAAGACAGCAGGTGAAGACGCACAAGTACCGCTTAGCTCGTCGTTGCCCTCGACCCTGTACTGTTGCGAATGGTCCAGCAAAGTCGACGGCCACGCGACTGAAAGCGTGGAGAGGCTCCTTCAACCGGATCTTGGGCAATGGTGCCATGATCTGCGTGGCTGGTTGTGCTTTACGAAATTGACATTTCAAACAGGAACGTTCGTACTCCCGGATGGCTTCTCGAATCGCCACGATCCAATATTTCCTCATGAGGACTGCCATAGTGTGAGCTGTACCTGCGACGTGATGGTCTGCTTCATGCTGGTCTCTGATCACTAGCTGTGTTATCCAGCAAGACCGCGGCAAGATGATCGGGTGCTTGGCGTCTTGACTGAGATACTGTGCCTCTTGGAGCCGTCCTGTCATTCTCATCACACCAACTTCATCCAAGAACGGGGTCAGGCTGCTCAGTGGACTGGTTGCCGGTAATGGTTTGCCCTTCTGCAGTGACGAATATTCAGCAAAGGCGTCCTTCTGGCTTGACCGAATAATGGCCTGAAGGCTGTCTTCGACTTCCTCGACCGTCAGCTGACCATACTGTCTCTGCGTGGCTGGGATTCGGCAGTTTGAGGAAAAGCGCAGCACCCACGCCGTCAAGCGGACCAGCCGCTGAAGCGAAGAGAATCGTTCAGGCGCCAGAACCCACTCGCTCGTCGAGAGGAAAGACACACATGTCACTTGGTGGTGTTGCTGACCTTCTTCGGGTGGTTTGGCTTTCGTGCGGACCTCTGGTGCAGCTGGAACTTTGAATCCCTCGGGCTGCTGTGGCCGTTCTTCGATGCTCTGAACGAGATATGACGGACCGTTCCACCACAGCACATTCATCGCGATAGTAGCGCTTGATGTTCCTCGTGACAGGATGTCAGCTGGATTCAACGCCGTCGGAACGTAGAACCACTGACTAGGCGAGGAAGAAGCCTGGATCTCACCGACGCGGTTGGCCACGAATGGCTTGAAGACCCGGCTGCTGTTCCTTATCCACCACAGGACATCCATGCTGTCACTCCAGAACACGACATTCTCCATTGCGATGGCGAGTGTCTTGGCTACGGACACACCAAGACGACATCCGATGACTGCTCCCATTAGCTCGAGTCGGGGGATGCTAACAGCTGATAACGGCGCCACTTTGGCTCGAGCCATGACGAATCGACTGGACCTCGTACCATCCTGGTACACATGACAGAGATAAGCGACTGCTCCATATGCATCTTGCGAGGCATCGCAGAATACATGTAGCTGAGTCTCCACCACCTCCTCATCGCGTTGAAGACACCGGTGAACTCGGACATCCTGGAGTGCATCCATGTCGGCACACCACTGTTGCGCCTCTGCGCCTAGCTCTGGCGGCAGAGAGTCGTCCCAGTCAGCACCTGCTAGCCACATCTTCTGGAACAACATCCGACCAACTATGGTGAATGGCAGTACGAATCCGATCGGATCAAACAATGTGGCTAGGTTCTTCAAGAAAGCTCTCTTGGTGACAATGTCTGATGGCGGCTTGACATGAATCAGGAACTCGTCTTCCTCTGCTCGCCACTTAACTCCGAGAGTCTTGGTCGTCGGCAGGATTCCATTAGCGAGGTCCACTTCCTTGGCTCGGTCCTCCTCGGGGACTTCGGCGAGCACCTCAACATTGTTGGAAATCCATTTTCGCACATGCATTCCAGCGAGACCCCACAGCGCCGTAAGCTCGTGGTACAGCTGAATCGCTAGCTCTGTTGACTTTGTCGAGTCCATTGAATCGTCCATGTACGTGGACTTCAACACGGTTTCTGCTGCCATAGGAAACTCCTCCTGGTTCCGCCGCGCATGCTCTTGTGAGACCAGTTGAGCTAAGAATGGAGATGCATTGATCCCGAACACCACTCTATTGTACTGGTAAACGGCCGGTTGGTCCTCCGTATCTTCTCGCCAAAGAAATCGATGGAACTGTCGG